TTCCCTTGAGAATTGTTCTTTTATGACAAAACATATTGAAATAGTAGCACATAAAAGAATCAACTTCCAAGAGTGACATCACATGGTCTGAATTGTGCACAACAAACAACGAAGCTAAAAAGGTCTATTTATTATACAAAATATGTGAACATGGCACTTTGGGTTTCCTGTGTCATCAAATCACACAGGTAGACCAACCGCTTCTAAGCATTTCGGATTTTACTTCCGGGGCTACTTGAAAGGAAGCCGAATGGAACTTACTCAAAAAAATACTTAGCTAGCAAAAAAAAAAAAAAGTCAAAAACATTACCGTCATATTTTTGACGAATATTTCTTATTGATTAGAAATGTAGGTTTTATTTATTAGTTATTTTAATTTTCTAAAATTATACGAAGAGCTTTTTCAACTTCCAAAATTTTAAAAAGTTTTGGAAATTGACCATCAATAAGCAAAAATAAGCAAAGGAAAAAAATCTAATATTGAATCCAAAAGATACATTTTACAAGTTTTTCAGGAAGAAGTTTTTTAACTTTATTGCTCTTCGCCATTAAGGGGAGCAATATGGAGACCCCCCTCTAAAAGAGAATAGTAAATTAAGTTAGAGTAATAAGAATAGCCCTCCCCATCACTTGAGATAGTAATAATAAAGAAAGAAAAAAGTTTTATCCTTTCTTTAATTGGAACTTTCATAAACAAATGGCTTACTTAAATAGTGGTAAGAGAACTTTTGGAGGTCATTTTTAAGAAGTAGTAAAATATATAACGTATTAAAATGCTTTTTTCGTACGGCGGTAAATGATTGCAATGCATATTCTCCCAAGGTTCAGTGGCTAGCGCTTTAGTCAGTTTGGATCTCGTGTTGAAGGGAAATTTTGTCCTCCGTTTATGAATGCAACAAAAAAGTGTTATTAAAGATGAGAGTATTTGGAGGTAGAAAAAGCAATTGCTGAGCTCCAGCTTATCACGGTATATCAAGAAGATATCAAAGAAGACTCGTATTTTCTTAGTTCATCAATAGTACTTGCAATAACGAAATAAGAAGGGCTTTTAGATCGGCTTCTGGATATCTCCCATCAGCGTATCTCGTGGTAGTCATATTCAGTCCAGCTTTTGAATTTTCTACGCATTTCAACTGGAATTCCTGTAACTGGCCGCGTTTGGACGGAACTTAGTATTTTGATGGGACTATCTGAAGGCACAGATTTGCCTTTCTTGGAGTTCTGCCGGTGTTTATCATGATTAATGTAAAGACTCTGATGTAATGCAGTCAGCAATGGCCGCTCTTGCAGCCAGTGCTCATTTCTGGCTTTGGTTTTGAGAAAAATTTGAACTTCCATCGTCTATAATTGTCAAAGCCCTCGAGAGGAACACATTATTGGGATTACTGAAGTGTGTATACATCGACGAGAGGTGGTATTTTCGGGTTATTATCGTATTTTGACACTGTTATATGGAGACATTGAATTGCGTGATTGGTGGACAGGCTTGAAAGACTAGAAATTCAAAACTCCCACCATTTTTGCCAGCGTTCATAACTTCGTATTTGCAAAAAGCCAAACTTTGATTACCTGGAAAATGTTTCAGCCAATGCACTTCCGTAAAACTGCCAAAGAGCTGGGGATGGACCCAGCAACTTACGAGAAAGAATACAATTATTTTTTGGCTAAACTGAAGAAGTTCCACGAATCCAAAGGGTAAGCCATCTCTTTTGTGCCCAAAATCTGGGTTTCTCGCTTCAAATGTTTTTGTAGTTGACCAGGAAACATCCCCTCTAACCTCGTTGAACTTCATTCTGCTGTTTAGGTCGCCGTTTCGACGTCTTCCATGGCTTGGAGGGCAATTTTTAGACTTGTATCTTTTATACAAAAAAGTCACGTCGTATGGTGGCTGGATAAAGGTAGGAGAGTACACTAGTGGCTGCATTTAACTCTATTAAATATAGGTTGTGGATAAATTAATGCCGGCCGTTGGATGGACCTCTTATTTATCGATCATTGGTATTTTAGGTCACAGAGGACAAAAAGTGGAGAGATATCGCTGAAGTATTTAATCTTCCTTCAACGTGTACCAATGCAGCCTTTGCCTTGAGACAACACTATTCGAGGTGAGCCACTTCTTTCCCTTATGCTTTCGCTTTAAATATAACTGTCCGATCATTTTTTATTCCTAGTATTAATGTCTTGCTTGAGAAAGAGATTAGGATAGCTTCCTCCAAGTCTTCTGCTGTTCGTTCTTTAAAAGGATATATTTAATCAGCCTGTCCAAACATTTTCCTATAATTCATTCATTCATTCCAAAGTACAGAAGCAGGAAATATTCCCCTACGGACCGATTAAGATTGACTTTTGGTGCAGCCTTTTATCGTAAAACTAATACTTCGTAAACTAGTAACGAATCTTGGAAGGAAACCACTCAATGAAACTAGATTTATCCACCTATCGAGCTACTAGGAAAAAAGAGCATTCACGAATAGAATTTTGCTAAAAATGTTATCTATCGTATTTCCGTTGTCAGTTTGTTTTTTTTTCTTTATTTATCTTTTCGTCCTAACAAGATATGTACTAAGATTTCACTCCATTGTGTTCTTAGAGGAAAAACTCCGGTATAACCATAAAGTTCACTATCCTAAGAGTAACATACGTTTTAATTTATTAAGAACGTTGTTGGAGAGTTTCTTTGTGTGAAGGTTACGAAACTGGTTACCCTCTGTCCGTCTGTTCCTCTTAAAAACCTCCATCAAAACAAACCTCGTAATGTACGATCGCGTTTGGGTTTTGAAGTCCCATCAAGTCTTTTAAGATTGTCGCCAAATTTCCACATCGTATGTTCTTTTTACTTCCAAAGCATTTTCCACCATGATTGTAGTATTTTTTTTGTTGGTGTTTTATGCAAATTCAAACGTGTTTTTTTGAAGTGTCTTATTGTCAGTGACCATGGTTTTATTCTTAATGTGCATTCTCATGTTGTAAAGAGTTTTACGAAGTCCTTTGAGTTACCACGGAGACATCTACTTCATTTTGATCGTTTTCAACCATTTCTACAGAATGAAAAATGCTATTAAATTTTAGTGAGATGATTGTACTCTTTCATGTCAATCCAATATTACCAACACCAATATCAGGTCTATGTATTCGTTGAAAATTGTCTAATTCTTAAAATAGAACCACTATGAAACACTTTAGATTTCATATTTATCTAACTTGATTTCCTTGACAAATATTAATTTTCTTTGAAACTTATTTCAAGTTGCAGTTTCTTTCTGTTTAATATTGTGATTTGAAAATAATTGTACCATCTAGAACAATAAAATATGTCTAATTGTATTTGTACCATTATGTCACTATAGAACTATCCTTGCATCACAAGGTCTGTATCAGTAACAAAGGATAAAAAGAATGAAAAATAGTTGTTTTAGAATAAAAACAACATGAACTTTTCAAACGAAAAGTCCTAGTGGAAAGATTTGAGAACAACTTACTTCACAGAATCTTTAGGTGTATCATATTGTAACCTTGTTCATCCCATATGATTTAACTCAAACTCAGTCTATATAGTGTGTTTCATTATACATTGTTGTTCAAACAGAATTTTAAGGTGTATGCTCCTATCGCTATTATAATCAAAAAGCATTAATCCTGATATCTAGACATTTCATTAAATACCAGATTAATTGTAGTAGGATTGATTCTGTGCTTAAAATTGACATTTTTGTTTTGATACTATTGTACAAAAAAGTACACTCTTATCTAGGAAACCTTTAAAATTAACAATAATTACTACCAAAGCTTACGTTTTCCTTCATGTAATCCTTATTTATGGTACTATTTTTAATATATTTATTGAAAAAATATATTATACTTTGCTAAGTTTAATTTTATAAAATAAAGACTTTTTAGCAAGAATTCTAACAGTTCTCTATTGAAAACTATTGAAACTAATAAGCAACATATATAAAACTCTTTAATCAATTAAAACATGAGGTCAAATATCTTGGTATTCTTAATAACTGCATGTTTGACACTTCTGTAAAGTTTCACATGGTAAAATTTACAACTAGTATTTGTTGTTAAGATTAAACACGTTTAGGCCTAACTAAGCATGCTGTATACATGGTTTTTGCCTAGACAGAGATTGTAGAATCTCTTTTTTTTTCATGAAACGTTGATGACTAAGTGTAGAATATGTCATATATTTTAAATCATAGTTATAGTGGTAATGGATTTAATAGTATTTATCTTGAAAACCATAAAAAATGCATCAATTTGATATCAGACATTTGATATACCTCTTAATGTATGGTAAAATGGACCCTTTATGCATTATATGTCTAAATTATTCATAACTTTATACATTGATACTCATGTCTACCTGAGAAGATTGTGTGACTGCTTTTGATATGATACATTACTACAGCCAAACATATTGTTATTGTTATTGATACACCACATTCAAAAGCTGTGACACTTGTGTTGTTAATCTAATAACATGTTTGGCATTTATTACCTGGCTATTATATATACATTAGTCAATCTCAGCAATCTCCTGGATGTTATAAAATATAGATGGTTGACCATATGTTGAAGTATTCTTTTTTGTTTTGAGCTAAGTGCATCATTTTATTTATGAAATATATATATGGACGATTTCTCCTTGTGTTCTTCTTACAATATGTTTGGCACATTTTATTCAGACATTGCGTTGTAGAAACAAAGTTTAACCATGCTAAAACTAATTTTGCCGGTGACCATGACCTGCTACTGAACAATCGTTATCTTAAACCTTTCGTTTCCTGTTAATCAATAAATAAAGTTGGTTATCATCATAATTATTATTTCATCTTAGATACTTAGCACTAAAGAACTGACAAAAAAAACTCATCCATCCTAAATTGTTCATTTTAGGTATTTAGAGACATATGAAAGAATCAATTTCTTTGGAGAAGATGTAGAAGATGTTATGTCAAGCGGCAGACCCCATACTCCTGTCAGTGTTCTTCCTGGTATTGGTCCTTCTGGTAAGCAACAGTCACATCTTCAATTATATTCCAAGGATTGTGTTATCACTCAGGGTTTGAGCTACAGCTTGAAATCCTAGAAAAGCCTTGGAATTCCAAAGCCCTTGAAAGTAGCAAAGTTGCTGAATACTCCTGGGATATTCATTAAAATTGCTTTGTTCCTTGTTTATCATGATCATCTGTAAGCTACTTTTTGTTGACAAGTTATTTGTTATTTTCTAACTTTGTAACTTTGCTCCAAGAGCGGCATGGTTGGTAATTTATATGCTTTTTTCCATCATTTCAATTAAATTTTTCCAGTTTCAAAACCTTTTTAAAGTCAAAATTAAAATAAAAATCATTATAATAATGTGTTAGTTCCAATAAATTGTAATTTTGGACCTTGAAAAGTCCTTAAGAAGTTCTTGAATTTTGCTTTGGAGACGTAGCTCAAACCCTGATCAATTCAAGCCGTGTAAAGTAGCGCTGTAACAGTCTACTCAAATTGGGGTCCCAAGTGCCAATCATTATTTTGGAAGCCCTTAATGGTAATACAAGAAAAGTGAGATTCTAAGATGCATCATAATTTTGATAATGCTTTTCGCATGTACTGCTTGTAAAACTGCATGATTTCTATATGTTGATGTGATCCCTCTATTCATTGATCTATGTTTTGACCTCATTTAGGGGATCTCAAGTTTTTGATTATTTTCTCCCTTGTTTTCCAGAATACACAAGTCCAGGAACAACAGTGGGTAAGTTTTAAATCAATTATAGAATTTTGAATAAAATAGAAAACATCATAAATCTGGGTTGAAGAGATTTTTTGAATAGGACACTAATGATAATGAAATAAATAATAATAATATTCATAACGCGCATATTTCATGTGGATATGTTCATATGCGCAGCTAAATGCAGGGAAGGAAGGGTTAACCAGAAAAAAATGATGAAAAAAATAAAGAAATTATAGGTAAATTATATTTCATGAGTCTATTTTGTCTGGTGGGCAATCTAAGCTCCAGGAGGTATCATACTTGTGACCTTCTGTTCACTGGTCATGTGCACTAACCATTGAGCTAGAAATCATAGTTTTGTAATTACTTGTTTAACTCTTTTTTTCCATCTTGATTATCAGATATTACAAGAAATTTTGAGAAGCTAGTTCTTTCCTTGGAATGTGGTTTACCCAATGAGGTGGACTTTGCAATCAATATTTGCATGCTTTTGTCAAACGTGAACAATTCTGTCTTCAATTTAACCAAGGTAATTCATGCTGCTTAATATATCAACTTTTTAAAACCATATCCTGAATCAAATAGGTAAGTTTTTTGATTGCATTTGTTGAAAGTTTTAATGTTTTTGTGGCTATTTTTCTTTAGAACCATATAATATATACACTTTAAATCTTAATATTTTTTGTAAACTTAAACTTTTAGGATGATGTTTTTCAGCCCCCAAAAATCATTTAGTTTTAATTGATTTCCGTATTGTAAACACTGTGAAGTAGTTACTTTGTGTGCAACTATCACAACCACATTCATTTTGATATATTAGAGTATCAAAAAAAAAGTTTTTTTAATTTTACAAATGTTCAAAATACCACTGTGTTTGGGGTTGTTTCAGCATCAAAATATTCACAAGACTAGTATACCAATTGTAAAGTAAAGAAAGCACAATTTCAACAAACACTTTAAAATTCCATGAACTTTCACTGGAACACTTGAATATTCTACGGAAAATCAAGGCATATATAACTGTCAGAGTAACAGAGAATTTAAAACTGGAGTAGTTTCTTTTGAGAATTTCATGATAAAATGATTTAAGTCATTGTTCAAATACTGATTAATTGGATTATTTGCAGAAGTATTTGTGACAGCCTTGATAGTTAATTTTGTAGTCTTACTGTTAATCCTAATATTTATTTATTATTATTATTTATTTATTATTTTCATTTCATGATTATCATTTAATTAGTTGTGTATTTTTACCCCTACACAGGCACCTGCTATAATGGACATGTTACTAGGTCATGTAGGTGTTTTCATTGAAGATTCTCATGGTTTGAAGGATGTATATAATGAATGGTATCAAAAAACTGAAAGAGACTTTGTAAAGGTATAGTGTTTCTTTGCTTAATATTGCTTATATCAAGAGGGTTCTTAAAAAGTCCAATGTACAGTGTATGTCTCTTACTTTGGTATGCTACAGTAGGTTTTATATTATTGTGAAAAAGCAACAGCCCACACAAATTACCCTATTGATAAAATAACAGAAAATGTTCCTTTTGTTTGTCAATAAATGGGTTTATAGGATATCCACTACTTTCTTTCATAAACCTCCCCTCCCCTCCCCTCCCCTCCCCTCCCCTCCCNCATTTACAAATGTTATTATGCCTCCCTCCCTCGTCATGATACCCAAAGGCTTCTGTTTTCAAATATTATTGAATCTTGTATAATTTTAATAAATTTTGAATGGTTTCAAGTGGAAGCCCATTGACAGTCCTTTTTTTTAAGACACATAAAATATACTCGTTCAAAACCTCATGATTGAATATTAGCCTGTCGTTTTGTCTCTAGTTTTGGAGGGAAACCCTTGAAGTTGAAGAATTCAGAGACATATTGTGTGGTGGTCAAGGTAATTTTGTTGATAAATTATAAGTCATTATAAATTGCTGAAAAATTATCCTGTTGATTATTGCCGGAATACTGATTAGCAAGTGATCCTGATTATAACTTAATATAGATGAGGGTCAGCATAACAATTCTTGCATTTGTTTTTCTATCACTTAAAGCAGACAGAATGATTCTCTTCTCTCATATAACCATGAAAGATCTGCAGTAATTTTGGATGATGGTGATTAAGTGGAACAGGAAGCATTCTGCGTGGCAGAGGGGTGTTGTTATTTCAGAAATTCAAACATCATGCAGAAACCATATAATTCTATAAACACATAAAAGTATAAACTGTAAACCCATATTCTCAAATCACATCCTACGTTTTTCTATTTTCACATATGACACACTTATTTTAGCCACACTGAGCACTCTTTCATTGCATCTTTATTTTTGTATTGTAATTTGATAAATATGTGAAAAAAAAGCATGGCAGTCAAGGATGCTTGTTCTTGTCTTTATGAATGAATAAAAAGGCTAGGAATAAAATAATTATTTAGACATTATCACCCAGTATCATTTTATTAACTGAATTAAGTTAAAAATATTTCACACTGTTATTTATTGAGTATCACACCGGTATTCCTGTATCCCATCAGGAAGTGATTTATTAGTAATTCATCTGCACATGTACTGTAGATGTGATGGGACATTTATGCATAATCAGAAGACAATAAGTTAACAGTTATTTAGTGGGTTGTGTCAAATTCTCTGTATTTGTAATCAAAGTGGATTTTAATATTTCATTTACTACATATAGTGGTTTCATCAGGGTGCCAAGCAGATGGAGCATTATTTTTATATAAGCTTCAATACCTGCCAGATCTTTTTCAAAAAACAATAGAAAATAAATAGATAATATTTTGCACCAATGATTGAAAAGTAGTGGAATATTCATTTGGCATGAAAGATATTGATACATGTACAATTTAATATCAATTATTTTGAGAAAATATTGTATGCCAAACTGAGGCTCTGATAAATACATTGATTTTTTGTTTTGTTTTAAATTATCTATAGAAAAAACTGAAGATAGTGAAGAACAATTATTCAATCCTGGGAAAACATATGGAGTCAATAGTGTTGAAGCACAAAGAGTAGCACAGGTATGGTGTTAGACAGCCCTTGAAACAAAGTCTACAGCTGGGCTAGAAATAGTAGGCTGCAAATGGCCAAAGTGAAGTCCAAATTTTACTACTGGCTGCAGGTTAAAATGATTTTGAACTGCCAAGTGGAACTGGATTTTGTGCCAAAATGATTTGTCTTGCCAAAAATAAAAAATCTGTGATTTTTAATATTAAATGGCCATTTAGTATTAATATTATTATATATAATTATAATTAGTACAAATAATAAAATTATATAGAAATAGTAAATAATATGAATAATAAGAGTTAAATATAATTGGGCACCTTTCAAAACATTTATCAAAATTCATCCAATTTATGAAATTAAGAATTGAAATGTGTTTGAATTGATCATTTAACAGCTGTTTAATCTTCTAGGTCTGTATGATTCTGTATAATTTCTCTTTTGATGAAACCAATGCAGAAATCTTGGCCAGCCATTCTTCTTGCTTAAGGTGATTTGTGATCTGTATTGTGTTGGGACAAGGCGGTGTGGGTTATATTTTGTTGAACTACCTGGCATCAGGGGGAGGGAGTCTACTCTCCTTTGGCACATGGATATTTTTTGGATCATTCCTCTTGGCACATATTCATAAATTGTGGTGAAATATAGGAATATCCAAGGGGTGATAAGGATAAGTGTTATCATCTTTGTCATAGAAAATCCTGTAGATAGGAAGGTCCAAAATCCTGTAGATAGGAAGGTCCAAAATCCTGTAGATAGGAAGGTCCAAAATCCTGTAGATAGGAAGGTCNGGAAGGTCCAAAATCCTGTAGATAGGAAGGTCCAAAATCCTGTAGATAGGAAGGTCCAAAATCCTGTAGATAGGAAGGTCCAAAATCCTGTAGATTGGAAGGTCCAAAATCCTGTAGATAGGGAGGGGGGTCCAAAATCCTAGTCTCTTCCTTTATCTACAAGGGGGAGGAGAAGGAGCAAATGTAAGTTATTTATGAAACTATATTATTAACTGAAGGATTTTTTATGGTTTCTTTAGGTTGCTGATGCTCTGTATATGTAATCAAATGGGATATCTACAAAGTTTAGCGTGGAATACATTGTGTAATCTGGCAGAAAAGGTAACCTTACAGCTGAACAGTATACTGTCTATAAACTACCAACATTATGACTCAACTTGTAGAAACAACCATACAATATCTGTTTTCAAAAGTACTACTGTACGGGTATTACAAGTACGGGTATTACAAAACAAAGTCAATTTTGTTTTGTTTTCATAGAATGGCAAAAAATAAAATAAAATCAATTCACTGTGATCAGAGTTAAAACATTCATTCTGAGATGTGCTAGCATAAGTTTAGAACTTGTGGGACATAGAACAGCAAAGTTCTACTGAATCAGAACCTTAAATCCATCCATCCATCCATCTATCCATCCATCTTGTAAAAGTAAAATTAGCTACATTATGGATGAAAACTGACCATGGGATTTTTACTTTCAGATGAAGCTAGAGCCTGTAGTGTCCAAAAACACCCAGATACTTTTCCGAATTCTTCATTATTTTCTTGAAGATAAAGATAGATTTAAAGTGATTAAAGGTAAGTAGTTGTTGCAATCATACCCTCTTGTTTCTACACCAAGCCTGCAAATAAGCACCCAAAATCAGAAATTTGCCCCAAAAATTAGTCATTTTCACTGGTGAATGTTCAGTCTGGCCAGACACACTGACCTGACTCTTCTGTCAAGAATGTGGAATATGGAATATGATTGATTGATAGATTTGAAAAAATATGTTCCCTCAAAATTACAAAACTCAAAGCAGAATTTTCAAGCATACACTGCCAGGTACAGAAATTATGAGTGAAAAGCGAATCCAATTGGTGAAAAGGACAGTAACATTGTGACACATAGAGGCCACAATATTATTTCAGTGGGTTCACCTGACAAAATTACCACTGGTGCATATTGCGTGAAGGCATTTTTTTGTTTGTTGCTTTTTCTGGAATATTTTAGAAATTTGTTGCCTATTTTTTCCAAATAATCACCTGTGTAATGGTTCTAAAACAATATTATTCGTCTCCTTCTCAGTGTTTATCTATGAATAATTGTTATGTATTATTATTAATTAATTCATAAGCACAAAAAACTTGGTGACTCCTACATTATTATAAATTATTTCTTCAAGCTTTCATTGTTTGTTTACTTATGCAACTAACAAACAAATCTTACTCTTAAACATGCTTATTCTCAATGAGTCAAAGTTTGAAAGCTGAAAAAAATCTTAAAAATGGGAGCATCAAATTTCACGTTCTAAGATAATCTTTGTTTGAGTAGTACAGTAATTTTTTCACCCTATGTATCTACATGTACTGTGATATTACATATATCCAATGTCTTCTAAGTTAATGTTTTATTTGCTAGCTATGGATGTTCTTGGTAAGCTGTGCATCAGAGAGGACAACGATGAAGTGATTGAATCAGCACTAGAAATACAAGGCTATGAGTCATTATTAAAGATTCTTATTATACCAGATGTGCAGGTATGTGTACTATTTATATGTATGTATGCAATGACAGACAAACAAATACAATGATAGAGTCAGACCAGGGAAAATTTGTTCTGAATTCAAAAATATTCTGTGACCTTTTGTTTTAACCACCTTGGTGTTTTGCAGCTTGTGGTTGGTTCACTGGAAGCACTATACAATATCTCAGGAGTAGGACAAGAAACATCTTACCAGATAGCTAGTGTAGATCATGGTGTGGGTAAGTATTAGACAGTATATACTTATTTCAATAAAGTTAGTCACCAAAAAGCTAGAAAGCTGTGATGGGAAATATTTCATATCCAACGAGTAAAGCTTTTGACACAAAACTGCGGCAGTTGAGGATGCTCAGAGGAGGTGAGACTGTAACTGGAAAAAGATCTCAAGTCCATCAACAGTTATCAAGCGGTTGAAACATGTAAAATATATCTACCCATAGTCCTTGCCAGTCTCAGCTTTGTAGCTTTTCAGGTGACTAACTTTATTGAAATAAGTGTATTATAAGGAAATGAAACAGTGGCAGTGGCATTTCTACAGCACTTCATCTGCACATCGAAATTCAGATTGAAACCTAGAAGTTGTTTTTGTGTGTGTGTGTGTGGAGGGAGGAAAACCAGAGAACCAGGAGAAAAACCATTGAAACACAGGAAATAACTAACAAGCAATTCTATTCACATACATTGTACGACACCACGTCCAGGAATTGAACCCAGTTCGCATCGAAGAAAGGCCGGTGCACTCACTTCTCAACAGCTTATTTTACTATTGGGTGCAGGCTAAAACAATTCTGAACTGCCAAGTGGAACATAAAATGGCAGGAGAAATGCTCTACCAAATTATTTGTCAATCTTCATTTGGCCATCTTCATTTCCTACTTTGAGTCCTGCATCAGGACTGACCTGTAACTATCCACTCTCTTACCTTGGTTGCATGATTCCTAGATATTCTGGTGTGCATGGCCACCCTTGATGTAGAGTTCCTAGGTCCACAGGCGTTATCAGAGGTTATTGTAATAGAAAACAGATTGCCAATGACAAGACCACGCCCTATACATTCCCCACCAGCTGGTAAGTGCTAGATTATAATAGGGCATTTGCATCATTAACTACAACTACCAGCATCCCTTGCACACTTTGTTTTGTTCTTTAGTTAGCACCAATTGTCTTACTATTTTTCATGAAGAAATGCTAAATTTGAATAAGAAAGGAATTTTGAAAAGCATTTTAAATCAGTAGTCAAGTGATGCCATCATGCAAATGGCCTATTGATTATGTATTGCTGTTACTCTTTTACTCCGATGAAGGACTAGAGTTTTTTCATCTTTTCACGGTGTATAATTTACCTTTTTATCAGTACTGTTTCATTAGAAACACCGATGTAGCTCACACTAGTTTTTAGCTAGTTATCTCTTCTATGCATTACTATTGAACAGATGAGAACATTTTGAGAACTGAATGTGAAGTAGCTTGTGCACAATGCTAGTCTAAGAGAAACAATTTAATTTCTTTTTATTCTTTAAATTTTATTCTGTGTTGTTGATTTGTAGTTGGTGGTCCTCCTTCCCCATCACCAGCTTCTCCACAAACACCATCCGTGTCAACAAGGAATGAAGTAGATGCAGAAGGATTTACTGTCAAATGGTATGTTTTTTCATTGATATGAAAATGGCCTTTTGCTTTGTATACCAATGTGAATTCTGTTTGTATTTAGGTTGCAAGCTACCTATGAAGCATTACCATCAGGAACTGTATCACGGATAGACCTTTATGCAGATTATTTATCATCTTGCAGTCGTCTGGCTAGAATAGGGATCCTCAATGCCTCTGCATTTAATAGAATTGTCAAGTAAGTAGGTTTAGCTCAGGGTTTTAAAATAACTAAGGAGAAGAATATCTGCAAATGGTTAGAGCTTCAAACCTTCTCGGATAAGGACTTTAAACTGTAGGCCCTGTCTCCTAACCCTTCCTAATCTGCAGTAAAATGGAGGACTTAAAAGAACCTGTTGAATTATTAGTGTAAGAGTAGGGGATTGTCTCGCAGTCCAACAGTCTATCCCTGTCTGGAGGCATAACACTAATATACTAAGAATTCACTCATGATTGTAAGTTGCATGGCTGCTAAAAGCACCTTAATATGCAGCCCGTAAATTATTTTCTAAAACATGATAATTTTGTCATAAAGTAACAGGTTTCTTAGCTTACCTTACTGACCTAAAATTCCTCTTATATTGTAAAAGATTCAAATTTAATAAATGTTTCTTTTCGTAGGTTTGTCTTTCCAGATGCTCAGCTGAGGCGATTTCCAGCTGGTAACCAACTACAGTATGCTTTGTTTGGCATCCGTAGACGAGCAAACCCCCTGCCTGTCCATTCGAGTGTTGATCAACAGGTTGCACCCACCCCTCCCCCTCAAGTCATGGCATCCCAAGCATCAGGTACTCCATCAAGAGTGATGGGTACTCCCAGTGGGGCATTCCATCAAGACATAAGCAGAGCACCAACTCCACCAACCCCTGGCTGTAACTCACCCAACTGGAATCAAGGTGTTCCTCAGAGACCTGTACCACAGGGGGTCAACGTGGCAAGGCAGACCCCACCTTCACCATCAGGACCTTTTCCAGGCAACCTACAGAATGGTGGCTTTAACCAAGGGACTCCAATTCAGAAAGTTCAAAGGCGACCAAACTTACCTGGTCAGCAAGTGATTGGTCAAGAAACAGGATTGTCAAATGTTCAACAACAAAATGTTGGTCAGCAGACACAAGTGACAGCTGGACAAATGATGAGACCTCAAGGACCATTTCCCAACCAACAGCAGCAAGCTGTTACTCAAAGACCAATGTTTAATGCACAAAATCAAGTGCCCGTGCAGCAACCTAATCTGCAAAAGACTATACCATCTAATGCTGTTTGTCAGCAATCTGGAAACATGAGCCAAGTTGGTTTGCCTCAAATACCAACAGGTCAATGGCAACAAAATGCTGTTGTTTCCCAGGGTACAACTTTCCAGGGTACTCCTATTAAAGCTATACAGCCAAATTCAATGACGGTGCAACAGCCAGTAAACAGCAAGCCTTCTGCACAAGTCATGCAATGCCAAAATATGCAAGGTCAAGCCATACAAGCTCAGGTTACTCAAGTTCAAGCTATGCAAAGCCACACAATGCAAAGCCACACAATGCAAGGTCAAATGTTGCAAGGTCAAGCCATGCATGTTCAAACTATGCAAGGTCAAGCCATGCAAGGTCAGGCACAGGGCTTTCAAAGACCTATGCATAGTGCTACATCAATGCCAACTCCTATCCAACCAAGGCCACCACAAATGCCTGCTCAGGCCATGACAACACAGAATTCACAACTGGGGCTACAGGCTCAGCAACTTGTACAGCAACGACAACAAGTTGCAAGAATGCCTTCAAACCAGAGACCCTCTTTGAATAATATGATGCAACGGCCTGGTTCCCCAGGAATGCCTCCACGTATTGCCCCCAGAGGGAATATGTTCTCTCGGCATCAGCAGGGTTTAGTTCCCATTAGGCCCGCTCCACCAGTATCTGTCCAGAGCCCTTCCCCATCATCATCTCAACCTGGTCCAGGACATAATGAAAGATCCCATAATGGTCCACCTCCATTGGGCATTCAGAGGCCATATCAGTTCAGGCCACAAAGACCTATTCAGGGACAAGAAGTGCAGAGGTTACCACAAGGTGCTCAATTACAAGGCTTCCAACAGGTCCAAAAAGCTCAAGATCCAAGGAACTCTTCTCAGCCCTTTATGGGAAGGCCCAGGGCAGCACAGCCACAGATGGGACCTAATCAAGGAATGGGCGGGTTTCCTGTAAGAAATAGTGGGCCAATAGCAATAGCTCCTAAACCTGCTGTTGATCAAAGGTAAGGTATCATTACTATACACTACTGAAGGGCTGCTAATGCGTTGCCTCTTGCCAATGTGACCCTGGTTCGAGTCCTGCCAGTCTCAGTGTCATATGTGAGAAGTGCTGTTTGGGGTTCTTTCCTGGGGTTGTTCTCTGGGTTCTCCGGTTTTCCTCCCTCCTTAAAAATCGACTTCTAAATTCCAACCTGATCTTTGGGGTTTTCACCTAGTTGGAGCCTAGCTCTGTTGTGATTGTCCCACACTGTAATATGACAGAAATTTACTGAACAGCATTGAAAGGTTTATAAACTTTATTTTACCTTTATCATTTGTGTACTTCTACGTTATTTCACGTGTCTATTGTTTGTCTGTTGAGTGTCGGCATCCATCAGTTATTAGTTTAGTTAGGCCTAGGGCAAACGTCGAACTTTCCATGCACCGAACTTAATTACATCAAAGAATGCCGCCTCATTATCACCTGATATCCATTGTTTTTAATGAGTTCGGTGCATGGAAAGTTCGACGTTTGCCCTAGGCCTTAATCAAGGTTTGTCCTTGAGTTTCTCAGTCCCAACAAACTTTCTGGTAATTGTTTCAGTGTCTCAGCCATGCCAACAACATGTGATACCCAACAGAGATCATCAGATGGTATTGTGCTGATCGCCCGTGAAGAAAAGGCAGAGGACATTCTGACTTCAGATATCTTAAAAAACTCTGAAGAACAAAGAATCATCGTGGTAGAAAATACCAACAATATACAGAAAAATAAAATGAATCATCAAACCGCTAGCTCTATACCAAATTTGAACAACATACCAGAGCATCAAGGTACTACTAAAAGGGATTTTAAGAGCCGGCAGTCAAACGAGAATTTGAACTCTGAAGGTTTAGTTACACCTGATCAAGTGGATCATAATGGACACGATTCTTGTCTTAGCGACCCAAAGAGAATACGCCTTGATGGAACTAACGTAACAAACAATATAGAAGACTCTTCCTCGTTGGATTGTACTACGGATGAACCCAGTGGACTTGTTAATGGAGACGTTAGAAATGATTCTAGAAATAAACTCATGGATAAACTACTAGGAAAAGATCTTCATATGCCTCTGAATGGTGTGTGTGATATCAATTCTTCAGATCTGGACCTGATGGCCACGGAAGGGGAAAGGCTTAGCGGGAGCAACAGTAAGGCATCATCACCAGATATATTCGATAGTGAAAATAATTCTGATTTTGGGAAGTACCTTGAGGAAAGCGATACAGATACTGGACTGTTTAGTGATGTGATTCTAGGTGATTTACGTCTAGATTCAGTAGAAACTGACCCCAAGTCAAAAACCAATGAACAGCACAAGAACATACCAAGTTTACCTGATTTAGGTTACCTTGCAGTGGCTCAGGAACTACGGAACCCTAGCTCATTACCTTCAAAACTACCTAGCAGCATTGATGTGCCTGTGGCTTTTAGTAAGGGTGCTCAGAACAGCTTACCGGAGAAGGTTCCTATTACGGCAGTCTCCGCCATAAGACCACAGCAACAGCGGGCACCTGGTCCTAATGAAATCGTTCTTGGTCGCTATGGCAACCAAACAGACGGTTTCCAAGGGAGACCCCAATTACTGAACCACGATGGGAGGCCTAGTACTTCTTGGAATGGGCCTGTGCGTCCTCAGTTTCCTCCTAGTTATCAAAGTAGTGTCCAGAATAATAATACACAGGCTCAAAATATACGCCAAACCGGCCACCAGCAGCTGAATGCCATATTAGAGCACCGGACCAAAGCATTAGTCACACCTAGAATGCCTGTAACGGAAACCCAAGAAATACGACAGTTTGCACCCCAGCAACAAACACCATTGTCAAAACCCAGTGAAACACCAACTAATGGAATACCAGATACCCATCCTATTTCAGGGTGCCCTGGGCTACCAGTGTCAACAGCTACATCATCGACAACTCCTATAGATGGAGGAACACAGATACCCAGGACGGTCATAGGGTCGCCGCCAGTAGAGACTGTCAAGCCTTTTAGATGTAAATGGGCCAACTGCACTAGGTAGGAACTATGATTGATACATTTTACTCACTCTCGATTCTCATTGGCCGAGAGCCTTCAGCTAATCCATGATATCCTGTGAACTCGACATGATAAATCCAATATCTGTAGGTTTTCCTCACGTCAAGTTAATTCGAAGTCACAAAGCAGATTGAAATATTTTATTATTTCGGATCCCGATTCTTTCAAAGCAGAATCTAAATCTTTATTCTTAGTTTACAAAATGTATGATAAAACAATCATTGAATTCAGTTTTCGCATGATATCGTAAATTATCAAGAACTCAGCCCATGGCTTCGGCAGATAACACAGCCTTGGTCTTGATAATTTACGATATCATACTTAATCTCATCCAAAACACATTCCCTATAACTTGGAATCATCATCGGATTCCCAGCTCAAAAAAAACCCTTGTTTGCGTCACAGACAGGATAGTTATCTTGCTTTTGTAACAGCACTTCAAAATCGTAAGACCGAATGCGAATATGGCCGCCACCCATTATAAAATAAATAAATAAATAAATCACTTTTTTAAGTGTCTAGTCGTTCTAGCGCTTTCGCACTAATTGGGGACACTTTTCACTCACACGCACTACCACTACATTTAATATTCTATGCACACAACGCTCAACTCGCATGTTGATTTTCATAATATTGTCACTCACTTCAGGTTATTACGTACTCACTTATCTTCCACAGTGCGTTTGATAGCAGTAAACAACTGTTTAATCACGTGGTCAGTGCTCATGTCCCACGTGACAGCCTGGTGTTGACGTGTATGTGGGAGAACTGTGTGCCAGTGCGCAGGTCAAGATCGTCTTTACTGTTCCACCTTCAGGTCAGTCATATTAACCAGTATTGTATTAAAAGATATTCTCTTTGAATCTTCTCACTTATAGCTCAAATGGCTTCGTAAAATGAAAAAGTCTCGTCTCACTGAGGGACGTTGGACATTAGCCATTCTCAGGCTCAGATCAATCGTCGAACTTCACATGGCGCCGAACCTCGGCTAATTGAAACATGTTCGGCTCATGTGAAGTTCGACTTTACCTTAGTCTGATGTTGAGGGGGAAAACGGGGTCGATTCGACATTGCAGTGCATTGAGAGACCATTTAGGGTTCAAAATAGACAACATTTTGGAGATATGTCCTCTAAAACAGTCTCATGAACTGTAATACCATCTCGACTCCGTTTTTTTCTTAACCTCAGAATGGCTAACAGAGGGCGACAAGTTATCAGTGTTGTTAAAAAAAGGAAAAGGCATGTTATGGTCAGGGCATTGCCCTCTCACCCCGCAACAGTCTACTGCGAGGTCACTTTCAAGTCATACGACAAAGATAATCAGCAAAAGTGTTATTAATTGTGATGGCAGGTTCTTATTTATATATTGAATATTTCAGCAAAGGCACAGTGGTCCAACGCCGGTCAACGCTCCACCTACACCTCAACCACAGGCTACACCTACACCCACGCCCACTACTCAACATAACCCTAGTTACTTCCCTGCCTACCGTCTGTTAGCACGAATGATGGGTGCATTACAGGTAAGACTGCGAATCCAGACTTCTCTTATCTTCTTATATAACAAGTCGAAATGACTATCTAACTGGAGTCTAGGGAGGACTGGGGTTGAATCCCGCGTGGACTGAATGGATTGGGTGGCCAAAACTGCTAGTCCAAATCTTCTCAGAATGTACTATATTGCCGTGTATAATCAATTGCTAAATCGTTGTATTTTCACCAGGAGGAGGAAGAGTCACCGCTTACAAAAACCATACGACTAACATCAGCACTCGTACTTAGAAATATTGCACAATACTCCGCTGTTGCGAGAAGGTACGTAAGAATATTAATGTTGTGTGTACCTATGTCTGTCTGTCTGTCTCGGCTGTCTGTCTGTCTGTGCAATCTTACTGTGTCGTGTTTCTTTGTCCAGTGACATGGAGTCCTAACACATGTTTTTTATCTGTTGTAGTCATCTCCGTCGTCACGAGCGTCTCCTATCAGAAGTAGCTATGTCTAATTCAGAGGCGGCCCATGCAGTAGCTGCGTGTTTATCAGAGCTATCACCACATAGAAAAACAACAGAAGACTCCAACAACACATTCATATGGGCTTTTGATAGATAGAAACATACACACACTCATCGATTGATTTTATTTTCAGCTGCGTACATTCAAAAAGTCAGATCGCACATGAAATACAATAAGAAAGGCCAGAGGTTTAAAAAATTCTATTAGAAGCCGAATATTATTTTCAAATAACTTACCACGGTGCAGAAAGCGCCCTTCCCCTCCCCTCTAGGTTCCTCCTATCGGCCTTTCTTAAATTTCATTTGCGACCTGGTTTTATTAAAGGCTTTGAGGTGTTTTTAGTTATTAATATATGAAAAAGGAAATGATATGAAGCGAATATTAGGCACGTCCTTTTGCTAACCTTGAAGTTGTTTATTTTGTAAGCTTTTCTAAGTTTTAATTCCCGCCCTTCATTTAAAACTTTGCGCTTTACACTAACAGTGCAGCAGTGGATCCACGTCGAGTTTGAAAAACATTCCAATCGTACTTTTTTTGGCCAATAAACTATGTAATTTCGCGAGACTAAAGTGTAGCTGTTGTTTCCCTAGTTTACACCACGTCTTGAATCCTCGAATACTGTCAAAACCCGTTTAAACCCGTTTTTAAGCTAGTTTGCGTCAAGAGAGGTGGCAACTAAAATCCAACTACAAGATGGTAGCCACCCACCTTCTTCAGAAAAATGGCCACGCCAAAACGTGGCCGTTTTTTGAAGGGGCTCAACCGTTCGTTAAGAGACAACTGAGACCTATTTAGATCGACCACTTTTTGACCCAATAATTAATAAAGATCTGAAAAGAGCGCTACTTTTAAGATCAATTAATTCATATAGTGATCAGAAGTGAATGATAAAAAGCTTTTGGGAACTTCATACTTTATTATGTAATATTATTTACTTAGCTATAGACCCCTTGCACTGAGTCCCGAGAGCAATTGCCTGGGGGACAAAACTGGGTTTTTTTTTTTTTTTT